TCTAGTATTTTTGAAATTCAATTAACCAAGAAAAAAGTATGGATATTTTTTTATCAAGTAAACTGGGGAAAATGATTTTTGTTACCTTTAAAGCACCAAAGACATGGTGTCTTTGATTTATTTTGCATTTTAATGAAAGAGAAAATATAGGAAAATGAAAAGTGTGGATAAGAGAGTGTTAGGTAGAGAGAGAAAGACTCAAAGGCATTATGTCTTTGGCGCCTTAAAGGCAGCGGATCCTCTTTTGTAAACTAGTGAATAGAATTTACCCTTTAATAGTGTATTTGGTTTAGCATTAAGTTATCTAAAATTACGGTAGATTTTCACATTTGTCCGGAATCTACCTTTTGGAGTATCTATAAATCACTGGACAAAGGCACACAAACGTGTGTTTGGTGGTTGAAAAGCCAAATCAAATATGCCACAGGTATTTTTAGAATTCAATTAATTAAGAAAAAAGTTTGAGTTTTTTTCTTCAAAAGTCTAGTGACTAGAATTTTATTTTTTATGATAAATAAGTAGGATATCGTGAGCTGGAATCCGCACCTAACATTTAATTTTCAATAGAGTTATCAACTAACTAGCTTAAGGAGAAAAAAGTTTTATTATGATTTTGTTTGGTAAAAATAGCGGTTGACAGATAAGTTAGCTTAATGATAACTATATGATTTATGAATGATGATTGATAGTTTATAATTTATAACTAATGACTGATAACTTATAACTGATAAGTTAATTGAAATGTTTAATAAAATTAACGGTTCAACTAACTGATAAATTAAAATGACATAAAAGATATTTAATATATAATTATTTTATTTTAAATTAAATTAAATAATAAAGATAAAAGTGAAAGAAAAAATGATAAATTATAAATTATAAGCTAAAACGCTATTTGAAATAGCGTCTAAAAAATGCAATATATATTAATAAAATAAACTATAAAATCATGATGAAAAAATTATTATTAAACAGATATTTTATTGTCATATAAATTTACAAACTATAAGCTATAGACTCGAAAATTATCATGCCAAACAGAGCGTAAGTAAACTATAGTTAAATTTATTCTTAAAGATCCTTAAATTAACCCATTCATATATATGTTAGAAAGAAATTATGCTTTAAATCAACAAAATTAATGTATCCAAACATCACCTTAAAAAAGTATAAAAAAAGAAAAGAAAATATATTTGCTTTTTCTGAATATGATTCTACTTTCTTATTTTATTCACATCCTTTAATTTTTGAAACATTTGAATTTGGTGAGCCTTTTTATATATACCCTTTAGAAACCAAAAACACCATCATAACATTACACTTCCCAAAGACATCAAAGGAAGAAAATGCACAACATACAAAGAGGTCAAACCCTAGACCATAGCTTTGTCATACAAATAAAATCCAATATTGAAGAACCAAAAAATTCTTCTAATAAGTTCAAGTTAAACTTTTCAGCTATGAAACTTTTTCATCGTTTCCGGAAAGTGCTTATGCGTTTTGTTTTCTCTGGAAACTCTCATCATAGTTCTTCAACAAAGGATCATTCATCAAGGCATAAAAATTCTGAAAGGTTTGAACCACCAAAGACTTCATGCAGTTCTTATTATTCATCTTATTCTCATTACAATGAAGCTATTTCTGATTGTATTGAGTTTTTCAATAAAGAAGGTGTTTTGGATGGTAGAAAATCAGATTTTAATGTGTAATAATCTTTTATATGTTTTTAGTTTTTCAACTATATGGTTATGATACTTGAATATATATGAGAATGTGAGTGATTTGATTCATCATGCTATTAGTTAATTCTTCATTTGATGTTATTTGATTATTATTGCAATAAATTTTTTTATTTAATTTGTTTTGATTATGCTTCCACCATTTGCCTTTTTTTTTATTTTTAAGTTTTGAATTTAAATATCACTGTAAACTTTTGGACTATCAGTAATTAAATTTCACGGCCTTCACGTTATTTTGATGATTCTATATGAATTCAAGAATAGAGTATTACTTTTGCAAGTCCACAAATCACGAGTTTTTTCTGACTTTCATTTGAAGTTTAAATCGTAACAATAGTTATTTATTATTAAATATTATCTTTAAGTTGATTGTAATATTTAACAAAAGTTATATTATTTGTCTAAGATTATCATTTAGAAGAAAATTTGTTTAATATCATGACATGAAGTATAATTAACCAGATGCCGGGTGAGATTGTTTTAAGAAATATTTTAGTTGAAATACATTTGACGATTTTACATGTTAATTAATCACAATTGTTAATTTATTAAAAAATTTTAATTTTTAATTTTAACTTTTTTATAAAAATTATAAAATGATCCGTGGTTAGGTATGTCTTGGATGATTAGTTAAAAGAAATTCTAACTAATTCTATTCAAATTAATATTTTTAATTTAGTTTGAGTTTTAAATGTTCACAGTATAAATTTTTTATTAGTATTTATATCATAAAGACACGTGGTAAAATAAAATGTTAAATCTAAAACTCAATATATTATATATTTAAAAATAATATTATGGGATGGGAATTATTAATTGTGATTGAAACATATAATAATAATGAATAAATTAAATCAATAACTTACCCACTCTTCGATGAAATTATAAGAGATTTATTCTTACTTATAGGTTCGAACTAAACCTTAGACATGTAATAATGTGAAATTTGTTTGAAAAAGACTTTACTGTTAATTATAATTCTTTTTGACTCAATTGATTTGTCTCTATAGTACTTAGAGGATAATCGATTTTCTACCAAAAAGTATTTAGTGTTTGAAAACATATAAAATAAAGAATAGATTAAATCAAATTAAATTAATAAGTTGTGTTAGGCTATGAACTAGATATAATCAGTAAAACGTTGAGGTAGTGCTTTGTTACGGTAAATTTGAACTTCTAATACAGTGGAGAGGGGCTAATCTGAAAAGTTAACACTCAAATGCTAGTAATAGAATAATGACTAATGTGTGAGTGAGGAGGATTTGAATACATGTAAATGATATAATTTCTCTCTCATATAGTAGCGGCACTTAAAACCATTTGTGAGAAGGGCATTGTATAGTGCAGACAATCGTATGATTGATTTGGGCGATATATGTGTTGGCTGAAGATTTTGATGATATTATTAGAAGCAAAGTAAATTGGACGTTTCGATTGAAATGAAACAAAACGTCATGTTTCGAAATGGTAGAAGCAGTGCTTCGAATGGGCATATCAAAGCTTGGAGCTTCGAGTGACAGTTAGGAGAATATATTCAAAGAAGTCTCGAAATGATAACAAAGCTGTGTCTAAGAAATGCGTTCGAAGCGAAGAAGTGCCAAAACATTTGAAATTCAAATGTAAGCGGGATGTTCGAAATTTGAAATATATGCGCTGGAGCATTCGAAGACGCGTGGAAGCAAGAGAGAGGCATTGCTCTGCATGTTCTGAACGTGGCAGAATCTTATAGCAAGACCGTTATGGTCGAAAGTAGTATAAATAGAAGTCTTAGCATTAGGATTTCGTGTGTCATATCTATTGTACAAAAAACTCAGTAAACATTCAAATTACCACATGGCTAGGGAAACAAATGCACGAGCAATGTACGTATGATAACACCACATGTTTATGATTTAATGAAAACTCTTTATCATTTCCAGTACTTGCCTTTATCTTCATGTCACTACCATTTACAAGTTTTTGCATTTAAAATGTTTTCATTCGAAATCTTTTTACTAATGCCTTACATTTAAATGCTTTCTTTCCATTTCAAATACTTTACATTTCAGAAACTGTTATACATTGCATGCCTTTATCTTCAAGTTTTTATCATTCGAACACCTTTTTTACTTAAAGTCATTTTACAGTTTTCTTGCATTTAAACGCTTTCTTCATATTTCGAATCTTTTACATTCCAGAGAATCTTTTACATTAACTGTTTTTATGCTTCGAAGTCATTTACTTGTCTTTTATGCAGTTTTTACATGTCTTTACAATTGACCTTTATTCATGCAATTTAGTTTCGCGCATATTTACTTGATCACACCTTTAGATCTTTAATAGAGAAATCGAAATAAGTTAAACACCTACACAACATTCTAAAAACCAACCATGAATACCAGTTCGATCATGAGAGTTACCCTAATGACCAACACGTCCTAGGATCAATCTAGTCGATCCTGCGAGTTACCAGAGAAATTAAATAACAGTCAGTAAGATTATTCGATAGTTTGGAGGACTAGCGGTTGTTTACCAGAAATCACTGTAAACAAATTGGCACACCCGGTGGGACGAATAGTTGGCCATTACGGAATTTAGAACAAAAATAAAGATTGTTGAGACGTAACCATTGTAAAAATACCTTCTGAGTGATAAGTTTATTGTTTTATAAACCTTAGAAGTGGTAGAATAACCAATAGCAACCAACCCTTATCCAGAAGAAAACGTTTGAACAAGATGTCTAATTCTGACAATCAACAAGGGGAACAAAATACCCCACATACAGCAGGCACTAATATGTCCGCTTCGATGGGAACATCTAATGTGATCCCTTCGAATGCACAGTCTGTTGCATCCTCTACCAGTAATATAGCCACTAATAGAATAAGTGGCATATCAACTAATAGTTCGATCCCAGGAAATACTGGAACCATTGGTTATCCTGGGGGATTCGTCCCATCATCAGGGACACAAACCCATTTCGCCACCCCACTAACTAGACCACCCGGTTTCGATGGTAATAGAACCAGAAACTCCTCTTATGGAATGCCAACATCTTTTATGACAGGCTTACACAATTCCACATCGAATTCATCACCACAATTAGGGTCTGGGTCTGGGGCAAATCAGTTTATGACAAATAACCAAGGGTCAGTGGGTTATAGCGTAATTCCTATTTTAACCACAGAAAACCAGTTGGCTTTTAGGCAATTGATGGATGACAGTAACCATAATATGATAGGGGTGTTAGCACAAACTATGCAGGAAATATTTGCCCCAATAATACAAAATGTGACTGTGACAAACAGAGAAAATGCAGATAACATGAGTCGAATAGCAAATTTCTTTGCTCCCCCAGAGAGGCGTAGGCAGAATCAGGTGGGAGTTCGAGCGAACGCACCTATTATGGAACAAGTAGCTAACGACCCAACCTATAGACCACCCAGAGAGGAAGTTAATGTGGGGGCAAGGGCACAAAGGTTAGAAGCCCCAATGATCCAAGGCCCACAAAGAGAAATTATGGAGCCAGGGGCAAGGGTCGAAAGGCTGGAAGTCCCAGAGTTTCGAGAAGAACAACCTAGGGGGATTGTCATGGTGGGTCGAAATCAAGATGTTGATGCAGTCGTTCATAGAATTCGAAACGATAACATCTTGGCAGAAAATAATTTAACCACCATGATAGAGAGAGTCATGGCCCAGAATGGCCTCAACACAGGAATTAGAAGGCCAAATTATGCTTCCCCTATATTAGATTACATAATGCACACTGACTTACCAAGGGGATACAAAGTCCCTAAGTTTACAAAGTTTGCTGGGGATACCAATGAGTCAACAGTCGAACACATAGCCAGATATCTAACCGAAGCGGGAGATATAGCCAATAACGAAGACCTCAGGATCAAATATTTCCCAAGTTCCCTGACTAAAAACGCCTTCACATGGTTCACCACTTTGCCTCCTGGGTCCATTGATACTTGGGCTCTTTTGGAGATATTATTCCATGAACAGTTTTACATGGGACAGTCAAAAATAAGTTTGAAGGAATTAGCCAGTGTCAAGAGAAAGTTCACTGAACCCATAGATGATTATCTGAATAGATTCAGGCTTTTGAAATCTAGATGTTACACAGTAGTGCCTGAACATGAGTTAGTCGAAATGGCCGCTGGTGGTTTGGATTACTCTATTCGAAAGAAACTAGACACTCAATATTTGAGGGATATGGCTCAGTTAGCCGATAGGGTTCGACAGGTCGAAAGGCTAAAGGCCGAAAAGGCCAGAGTCTTTAAAAATAACAAGAAGGAAAGGATCTCCTATGTTGGAACTGAGGAAGCAGAAGATTATCCTGAATTCGAATTCGAAGAGGTCGAAATCGACCTCGCTGAATTAAAACAGGCACCACCTTACTCCTGCAAACTATTAGTTCCCACAAAAGGGAAAGAGATTGTTGAAAATGAGAAAAGTGACAAATTCCCAAAGAAGGTTTATACCTTCGATGTCACTAAATGTGACGAGATTTTTGATTTACTTGTCAAAGATGACCAACTCATTGTGCCATCAAATGTCAAAATACCTCCTTTAGATCAAAGAAAGAAAAGAGGATTTTGCAAATATCATAGTTTCCTAGGCCACAAAACCTCACAGTGTTTTCTTTTCAGGGACCTAATTCAGAATGCAATTAAAGATGGCAGACTGAAGTTTGCTGATAAAGCAAAAATGAAAGTGGACGAAGATCCTTTGGACGTCGCAGACACCAATTACTCCGAGCCTGCATGCATTGGAGAGATTAACATGGTGGAAGCTGACCAAAGTGATGCCCCAATAGGAGAGAAAGGTACTGAAAACAAAAGCTGGGTGATAATCAAAGTCAATAAGGAGGTCACTGAAGACGTCCACAAGCAACCAGAGACTTCAATTGAAGCAGCACCTTTAGCTGTTGCAAAAGAAATCCAGGCTACTGAAGGCCAGGAAAACCAAAACCAAGAATTGACACA